TTTTTTTCCCCTAATGTGTTTCACAAGGGTCCCCTTCTTCTGCAGTGTGTGGAGAAAGACTAGATTGCATTCTAACATGAGAATGGACTAAGCATTCATCTGAGTAAGAAAAATGCAAAAACCTCCCTCCCAAACAGGTATCCTTAACCTAATGTATTCTCAAAATGATAATAGAAATATCTATGCACTGAGTTCTCACTGTGTTATTTTATATGCATTGTCTTATGAAATGGTTGAAGAATCAGGAGTTTAAAAATAATTAATTTGTACAAAATTACTCAGTTGTATGTGTTTCATTTTGCAACTCAGATTACTGACCACCATATATTCCTGGGTCCATTATTTACATGGTGCACAACAGTCTTGGCTTCATTTGTTGGGTGAGTCATAGGAATGGTGTTTGGTCTTTGAATCTGACCTGGGCACTAAGATTAATACCGAAGTCTGGTCATTTGCATCCTATCTTGCTGCAGTTGGTTGGTTAGTACTTTCCTTTGGTCCTGACACTTCCATTGTAGATGGAGGTTTGTGGAAGGAGAGATGGATACAGCAACAGAGTCAATCCAGAAACTCAATGAATATGTGCTGAATAATTAAATCAGAAATTTTCAAGTTCTTCAATTCAAATTCAACAAAAGTCTTTGGCTAACTGCAGAATATGAGCTATAATTTCTGTCCTCGGGTCCTTAAAACTTCAAGAAGACCCAAACTAAAGCTTAGTCCTTCCAAATACTACTTTACAAACAATATTGGAAGGAACTGAGTATATTGTGTCATAATTTGAAAACAAGCTACTTACCATATGTGAATAAGACTCCTACTCTAAAATATCTTCCCAACAGGTGAAATATGAGATGCTAAATAATAAAACCTGAAGTACAGTGGAGCAGGTCTGAGAAAGCAGTGGGACACATCTTGAATAATATCCCCAGCACTATTTGCTGTCTTTTCTACATACTGGGCCCTTTGCATGATCTCTCTTAATCTTCACGGCAGCCTGTGAGGTAAATATTATCATCTTCATTTTACAACTGAGGAAATTGAGACTTAGGTAAATTGTCTGAGGTTACATAATTAATAAGTGTTTGATGGAGGATTTAATTTCAAATTACAAAGTAAATGAAAGAGTGAAAGAGAAGATAATAGTTTTTAAAGAACAAATCTCAATTTTTTGAAACCCAGCAGCAATTTTTCTTGCCTTTCTTGTGACACTTGTCGTGTTTTGCTTTGTTTTTTCTAGATGTCTTGTGATCCCCTACTTAATGAGAGCCTATTCTGTTTGAGAGAAGAGACCATGTGCAAACATTTTTATGTTTTCACAGGACCATGTTCAGTGCCCGAGACAAAGAAGGCATTTTTAAGAAGCATTTTACTTATTCCTCACATGTTTATTCTATGGCCACACCTAGTTAAAAAGACAAGTCATGCCTTCCAGGAACTTCCAGCTCAGTGGAAAAAGTGGTTAAAGAGTGATTGCTCTCAACTAGCTATGGCAGAGGAGTGATAGGAAGCAGGGAAAATCAAGGCCGCCCTTGGAAAGGAGAAGCCAATTGGCTCCTGGGTTCAGCAAAGGCTTCCCAAGGTCAATGTCATCTGAATCCATATCTGAAGTATCAGCAAGAGCCAATGAAAGTGGGAAGGGCATCACAAAGAGACAGGGAACAAGAATATGCAAAGACCTTGACCCTAAACATAAGAGTGAGGCCTGCTCTGAGGATTACAAGTCACCTGGAGCACACTGTTCACCTGTAGGGAGAGGGGCGGGGGTTGTTGGATAAGGAAGGCAGGGAAAGAGGGGGACCAGCCGGCAAGATGACAACATGTGATGTTCAGAAGGACTGTGTAACACCCTGCCAAAGTGCTTGTATTTTATCCTGATCATCCTGGGGAACTTCTGGCAAGAGTCAGATAGACAAGATACACATTTGAGAAAGATGATTAGCTAAATCGTGAAGACCAACTGGAAGGGGATATGACTGGTCACAGGGAACAGGAAAGAAAACCAACAAAGCAATCGCTAAAGCCAGTAAAAGGGAGGGTCATGCCATCCAGAGAAGAGAGAAGGCCATTTAAAATTTAATTTGGAAGGATACACAAGCATTTTGTTATTCTTGAGCACCTCCACCAAACTGTTGTTTTTTCACAGTATAAATTTGTGGAATCCCCACGGACTAACAAGCTAAAGGAATCTTCCCTTTGAATGTCCTTGTGTTTCTATATCCCCGTGTAATTCTTAGATATTTAATTAGAACTGTTTTAAGGGTCTTTTTATCTGAGCAATCTCTCCACGGGCAGAGGTATCAGAATAACAGGAATCGATATAAACACCTTAGCAGGAACACCTCAGAAAGGTATTTTTGCTGATTGCACATTTTTTATTTTGAAATTTCACAAAGATCTCCATTAGGAAATCATTCTTCCTTGGCGTCATGTTGCTGTTGCATGCTCAACAAATAGAAGGTAAATATGCGAAAATTGGTGCCTTTTCCATGATAACCACATAGCGATAAAGCTCTTTGTTTTCACCCAACTGCTGAAAACATTTGTGTAGGCAATTTCGGTAAACATTCGGAGAATTGGAAGTGCTCTTTCCTACACATATGGTTCTTTATGAAGAGGTAATTTTTATCTATGTTCTACTCAATTGAATATTTATAAATCTGTTTGGCCTCAAAGGTACCTAATCTCCCCCCAAAATACAATCGCCCTGTAAAGCTAAAGTGAGATTTATTCAGTTACCCTTTAAGAACTTTGTGACTTATTTTCATTTTCTCCCTATCAATTTGTTCCCAATACAATCTTAAATTTGTCTAATTTGCTGTGTTATTGCAATTAGTCAATTCTCCCTTAGTTACACAAATAATAGCCTTATAAGTTTGAGGCTGTAAATCATTCATCCATTAAAAATGCCGTTTCCTTGTACTGCAAATTCGATTCATTTAGAAGAGAAAAAAACCATGGCATGGAACAGAATTATGCAATGTCATGGACACATTAACATTTGGATCAAAATTTTACATTGTGTCAGCCAGTAAACAGTATAAATGGTTCAGATTTGCAATAAATAATTGTCTATTAATACTCTGGCATGCTGTAGCAAATTACAGTCTCACTTCAGTAAGCACAGCTGTAGGTAGGCGCCAGGGCCGAGGGGAAGCTAGTGCCACAATTGGTTTGAGTGGAAAGCGACCATCGTGCGGGAAGCTCTCTTTTCCAGCAATGGCAAACACAACTGTGGACTAAACGCCTGCATTTATAAACACAGGAGGAGGACCCAGCGGGCTCTTCCTGTAACTGGAACAGACCCCAGGATGCAACCCTTTGCTATAAAACCTATGGAAAGCACAGATGCTGAATCCAATGAGGGCATCCTTCACTTTGGTGGAATGTGAAAGGGACAGTGGCATATGTTATTAACCAGAAAAGAGCTCTTAAGGATAGGAACAAGGGACTGGGAAATATGTTAGGGCTGGAGCATCCACATCAGATGTTGGTTATGGAGCCAGTAAAGGACCAGCAGGAAATCAACCTTCCCCCACTCCTCCCCAGGGTCCTTCTTACGTGTGGACATGATTTCAGCTCTTCCTGCCAGAATCTTCCTTCCCAGCCAATGGAGGAACCTAAAATTATTACTATTTTCACTGTCTGGATGAAGTGTTTTAAACTCTGTTAGAATACAAGCAAGATGTCTGGGAAGGTTGAAAACTAGATATATTAACACTTATTAACATCTTGGCATGCAGCTGGCAGGTTATAAGCTTCATCAAAATGAGGGAATGAAGCACAATAGTGACCGACATTGCATAATGTATCTGTGAGGGCAGCACTGCTATTATCATTCCCATTGCCCAGATGAGAAAACCAAGGCCCAACAATGCTCATCAATTTTACTCAGCCAGTGTGATAATTATATTGAAGAACTGGGTATCCCTAAAAGCTAATTTATACTAGCTCAGGATTTAGCCCAAGATTGTCTAGGAAAAATGATTAAAGCAACAATTAATTGACAATGTGAACCTTGGAAAATTCAAAGTTTTATAGAATTCTTTATAATAAGACTCTAAACGCAATCAAAAATGCTGTCTTACTACTATGCTATTCTGTGTCATTCAGCTCATAAAAATTCTTGTATTGACCTCTGAAATTCACCATTCATTTAATCTACATTTATATATTTAAAATACATGGAAGAGTTAAAGTGGCTTTTAAAATCATATTTTAACAAGAATTTTTATATCTGAAAAAGCCTAATATCTAGAGGAATATGATTTTTTTTCTTGCTTGAACTGGAAAATATTTTTGTCTTCATAGTAAGGAAAGTTTATTGAGCACCTTTTAAGTATAGGGCATTGCCCTGGATTTCAGGTGATCACCCAATTTTTCTTTTTATACATGTTGAAAGCTAAATTTAATTTGGAACTATTTCTCAAGAAGGGAGAGCAGCTGTAACTGATTTATTTGAATACTTTAGGACATTTATAAATAGTTTTTTTCTAATTCTCCAGAGAATGATTAAATCCTTGTGGTTATACACACTCTTGAGCAGGGTTAGTTCTCCCCTGTGTTTGGATGATTACTGGGGGCTCATAATGTGTGTCTTTACCAACAATAATTACTTTTCTTGCATAACACTAGACAATCCTCATAAAAAGTCATTTGTATGATGTCATTCTCCAAAACTGTCAGTGGCTCTTTGCTTCCTGGAAAGTAAATTCTGCACTCAAGGTCTCTACCATCTGGGTACTGTCTGCCACTCAACATGTGTTAGAGACTGTAAACAAGTCAGGATGGTTTGTGAGGTGGCACCAGCGAGCCATTAAGTGTGGAGATTCCTTATTGGTTGACTGCTGTATCTAGTTTATGTTAATTGAGATAAGCTGTGTGGAATGTATATATACCACTCCTGTCCTACAATAAACGGCTCCTACTCCTGCTGTATCAACGTACACAAGTTTTTCGTGACTCCCCCCCCCCCACCCCCAGTAGTTTGCTGCAGTCGGACTGCAGCAAACATGTGCTTCCCATGGCCTCCTGATGCAAGCCCTCTGCTCCCGGCATGCTCTGTAGTCTAGTCCAGGATGATGCACATCAGCCACCACACTTGCTTCCCCTCTGCTAGTCCACGGGCCTTCAGTTGACTTTACACTCTTTCCAGCTCCTGGGGTACACTTCCACATCTTCTTTGAAATCTCTTTTTGGTTATCTCAGGTCCTTTTCTCTCTAAAATCCAAGATTGGATACTTACTTCAGAATTATGAAAAGTTAGAACTGGCAGGGACATGAGTGGGGACATTTATCATTCTTTTACATAGTTTCTCTCAATAATTATTTAGTAGATTTGTATTGGATTAGGGATGAGATGACCTGACTCTACCACTTTTGTGACAGGTGACCTTGGACTAGTCACATGAGCTCTTTGAAACTCAGTTACCAAATCTATGAAGTGAAAAAAACCTGTCCTACCTACTTCACAAAGTTGTTCTAAGTTGTTGAAGATGAAAGGTGATAATGTAAAAATAAAGTGATTCATAAATTCTAACTTGCTAAGTGATGCTGTTTATTAAATGTTCCCATACAAAGCAGTCTCTACCCCTGCCACAATCCAAAAGTAGATCTCTCTGTATTTAGGAAAATGAGAGAGATTTTTTGTATTTGACTCACTTCAGATTGCTTTGGGAATTGTGGAAAGTCTTGCCACCTCTGCTACCTCTTTCTGCCACATTGGAGCAAGCAAGGTTTTGAGGATCATCAGGTTATACAGTGCTGGGAGGCCTGGTCTAAATCATTAGCTATTCCATAGAAAGTGGCCAATAAATCTTTGTAGGCAAAGTGAATGAATATTCACTTCTAATCTTTCAATAAGAATGTGCAAACTCTGTATTCAAGGCCTCCTTGAATAACTTTTGGTTATTAATGTCTATACTTCTAAGAAAATTTGCTGATGTAACCTCAGCCACATTTCCAAATACAACTTTGTGCACTGCTGATTGTTCCAAACATCTAAATACCAACACAGGACTAGAAGCCACCACCTGTTAATACTTTTCACATTCACTTGTAAATGTATGTTTTAGACAGTCTTAAAAAGATGATCTGCCTAATAAAGGTCCATCAGCCTTCAAAACATCCTTACCTCTTAATGTTGAAACAACAATAATGATTTGCTTCATTTGTGCACTACACACCAATGAGATGAGCTAATTGCATATCTACTATGAAATAATGTCTGTTATTACATGGATAACTACACATTAACTCCATTGGAAGCACTAGCAATTACACAGTATGTTATGTTAATGTACCTGTGTTACCTTCTGATTGCCATATCATTAATTCAAGTGACCTCTATAAATTTGTCTCCTACTATCATTTCCTTATTCCAGACCTCTCCATAACACTTTAGAGACTGTTAGGAAAATAATAAAACTACACAGTTAAAACTTGAAGAAAAAAAAAAAAGAGACTCTGAAGTGTGATTCCACTGAATGTCTGTTGTTGGTTTTTATCATGCTCCTTTGCTTGACATACATAAACAGCTTTACAGCTACATTCCATTTCCATCTATCCAAAACAAGAACTATTTTTGCTTTGTGAAGAGTAGTAGCAGAGTTTGACTTTTTTAAAAAAAATTAGAACCTGTCTGGTTCATAAACAGAATCACAGCTTAAAAGGGCTCAAGTTCACCCTAAATTGTATCAATCAAGTTTTCACAACACTTAACACTTGCAATGATGGAAAGTTCTAATTTGCTGCTAAAACCTGAGTTGACTCCCAGGATATTTGCATTTGTTTACACCCAGCTCCTGAGTTTTCCAGCCAATCTCCTCCTGACCTTCCCCACTCCTTCCAAGCCCACATTCAACGGCAGAGCTTCTCCAGCCCAGCAGATGAAAACCCTATCAGCATTTTCATAGTTAATGACAGGGCTACAAAACAGAAAATAACAGCAGGAATCTGAAGCCAGTGCTTTTATTGGACTAACTAACGATATAAATAAAATGGTCCCTGACTGAGCTTCAGGGAATCACTGTCTCTTTATCAGGCCATAGAAAACAGATCCAGGAGGGCAATAAATACGGCACATAACAGAGTGGAATTAAATGATTAGGCCTGAATTAACACCCTGTTTCTGAGCCTCGCTTAGTGTTCCATGGCCCCAATGAAACACTGCAATTCACAAACGCTCAAGGCCCATTTAATTTTTATTTCAAGCTAGTACAGAAGAAGGGATTACCTATAACTCCCCCCCATCCCATTGTATAACTCGAAGTAACAACACTGATCCTGTCTAGATAGCTGTTAGGAAAATAGACGGTGTCAAAGGAATCACAGAGTCTATTCAGAATCCTGCCTCTAAGAAGTTGCATTAATTAAAAGGAACCAAACACCTATCTCTGTGAAAGTGACAAGACTTGCTCCTATTTGGGAAAATAATGAATTAATTAAAGTAATTGGATTGTTTTCCACATTATTACCAACAGAACTCAGTCACTATTAGCCCTGATGTTTTACTTTTGGAACAGTAGCTTTAGCATGCAGAAGGTTCAAGTTGCGTTTCACTGCAAGATGGAGTTTAAGATCATCTTGGTAGATAATATGTGGAGGCTCATTCTCCATCATGCCATAGGCCCTGTGATAAGGTGGGTGAGTTTAACTGAGTTGGAGGGAAGTTACTGCTGTTCTGTATCCTTCCATTTATGAACGGGCTCTAGAGCAAGAAATCCAAAGACGGCATTAGAGAAAGGTTCCACTGTTCCAGCAAAGTAGTTAGAACTTTCAGATGAAATATGCAGCCAGATGACTGGCTCATAAAATCCACTTGGTATATTTGCAGCTTGAAATGATGTATGAGATGGAGATTTATTTATAAGGCAAGGTCCTTCAGAGTCAAGGGAGCTTACAGTTTTGAGCACCTAACTAGATGCAGTGTGCCGTGCTGTTTCTTCATGATGTCCTATAAAGTAGGCAGGATCATTCCCGTTTATAAAGAAACTGAGGCTCAACTAGTACAATCACTGCCTGAGTTAACACAGAAAGTTGCAAAGCTAAGTTTGAAATTCAGTTCTAGGTAATTCCCAAACTAGACCTTTCCATCCATACTCTGGTATTACCTGCTTAGGACTCCTGGCTCCAGTGGAACTCTGACCCAGAATAACCCAGAAATTAGCCATCCTGTAGAAGAGGAATGAGACTAATTCAGTGTAGTTCCAAAGAATGGAATAAAACACCCAAAAGATTTTGGCTTTAGATGAGAAAATCCTTTATAAAGGTCTCTCAGGAGACCCAGGCATTCGATATGTTGAGGAACATTTCTCTGGAATGTAGATGAACTTGCCTGCTTCAGAGTAAGAATCACAGCATGAACAAAATGCAGAATCTATTTTGCACCTGTGAGCGTCACCATCCCAGAATAAAACAGAGCAGAAAGATACTTCCTAGTCTCAAGAATGAGATTTGTTCACTAACAGATTTTCCCTAATAGCTCAGCAGAGCATAGAGTTATGCATATGACAACTCAAGTTGAACCTATCTCTCAGTACTTCCAGCCAACAAAATCCCTATAACCCTGGCCCAAATTTATGCTTCAGTCCCTTCAATGAAATACACACATAATTCTTTCAAAAGCAACCTCCAGTTGAAAGATCCAGACATTGAGGACTACATTGTGAAGAAATGGCACATTAATTAAAAAAAATTTTTTTAAGACAAGTAATCACAAGTTTATTGGTAATAGATTCCCATTAGTTTAAAAGTATTGAGCTGTGATTGTTGAATTATAATTCCACACTCAATTGGCAGGAAAGTATCTAATTTCATGTTCGGTGCAACATCTTTGTGCATTACCAGGACCCAATAAATTAAAATGTTTTTGACACTTAATTAACATTACATGGTAATAATTACATCTATTCCCTTATAAGTGAAAAATTTCCTGAAGTTTTATGTTTTGAGAAAGGTCTTTGTTTACTAAAAAGGATATTAAAATGATTGAAGTGAGTTTTATTTGAATGATTAATGTTTTTGTTCCTTGGCCAGACATTTTTTAGCAAAGACCCAGAGTGCAATGGTTGCTCTTGGTTATAGTTTGAACGCTAACAAGGTCCCTCAGATTCTCTGGTCTGGACATAATCATAAGGGTCCGTTTGACCTTCTCTTGTCAGTAGTGAGTGAAGTAAAATCTGTCTCACCATGTAAGAGCCAGAGTATGTCTTTGAACTTGAGTCCTTGTCACCTTGACTGCACAGCACATCAAATCTTCAAGCAGTCCGTTTGGTAGATGCAACCAACCGGAACACTTTCTCTACCCAGATGCTCCTTTTAGCCATTGTTCAGAGGCATAACTTCAGTTTCTAAAATCTACATACAATAGTTAACACTAGACACAAAATTATGGATTTTCACTTTCAACTGGCAACAGAAGCAACATATAATATAATCACAAAGAACGTGACTTTAATGTGAAGTATCTGCCTTTTCCAGTAAATGGCTAACCATGGTAAACAGAACTGTTTAACCTTGCTATACCTTAGTTTCCTCATCTAATGTGAGGATTATAACACTTTACTTGATTGATATAGAAATCAAATGACATAAAAAATGTGAGTTGTGTCTTTTTTTAAAAAAAAGTGGCATATAGGGCTGGGCACGGTGGTGCATGCCTGTAATCCCAGCAACTCAGGAGACTGAGGCAGGAGAATCATGAGTTCAAAGTCAACCTCAGCAATTTAGCAAGGCCCTGAGCAACTCAGTGAGACCCTGTCTCTAAATAAAATACCAAAAAGGGCTAGGGATGTGACTCAGAGGTTGAGTGCCTCTGAGTTCAATCCCTGGTACCAAAAAAAAAAGAAAAAAAAAGAAAAGAAAAAAGTGTCATTAATCATCTCATTAAAGACTGGCCAGGATTTTAAGTTCTTATCCTTGCTGTTTCACTTTTTATTATTCATTGATAAACCCTTCCCTTTCCCTAGTCTTTTTTCGGATTTTGTAAACCTGGGTCCCCTTATAACAAGTGAGCACAGATCCTGAGTACATGATTAAACCCACAATGCTGAGCTACAAAGTCACTTCTTGAACCACCATAGCTTCAACTCCTGTCTTTTGGTCTAAACATTTTCATTTGAGTTTGACAGCATATTTTTCTTTTGACCTGGATTTTGTAAAATTGTCCATAAAATTGTTTTGCCAGATCCTCCATTTTTCTGATTTGGCATGAGAGAAGCTACCCTCCCAGGCAAATGTGAAACTCTCTGCCTCCCCAGCAGGACCTAGCTCCAAGTCCCTTTTTACATGGGACTTATTGTTCTTGTGATTTGAAAACATTCTGTTCACCTTCAGTATTTACTTACCTGTTTCTCATCCATCTCCCTCTTCTGAGATGTCTGTTTCAGGAAAGAAGGGGCAGTGTTTGTCTTTTTTACTACAGTCCCCTGGGCTCTCGTTACTTCCTAGAATATAGTAAGAAGCCCAATAAATAATTGTTGAGTGACCAGATGAATTGCTACAAATAGAAAAGGTCGCATTCGATATCACTAAAGCATTTAGCACGGAATACCATTTCTTCCCTTCCCCAACTGAAAGCTTAACACTCTCCGAAGCTTTTGCAATAAAAATTTCACCAGTGAGGTCCTTAGACATATTAATTCCTTAGTCCTATCACCACTGTTGTCAGGGTCTGAGGTGGGGCCAAACATGACTGGGGTTTTCAAAAAAATATATTTTTAATATAATTTTAAAATATACTCACTAGGGGAAGGCTCATAAAATTCAGCTCCAGCCACAATCTGGACTATGGGCTGCCAAGCGCTGCATAAATAAATCATCAAGTCATTTTGGCATCCTGTGGGCCAAAGGAATATCTTCCTCAGTAGATTTAAAGAGACATGATTCTGGAAGAAACAGGAGCAAGTGAGTGATTAAATATGTTCTCTCTTAATATTCTCCCGAGTTTGGATAGGGTCCTTGAAGTGGTAATTGTACATTTTACCCAGGGCAGATTCTTTTTTTTTTTCTTCTTTAATTGGAATCCATGGTGGAGTTGAAAGAATCCATTCCAACAAATGTCTGCTCCTATTTTGCAAATATTGATACACTTGACAGAGAAAACATACAGCAATGAGAAGAGCAGGATAGGAGGACAGTTTGCAGCCAATCTGTGTGATCCAGATCCAGATGAGTCAGAGGCCTTGCTCAGCAGGGCAAAGGGAGTCCCCAGGATAGTGGAGAGTGGCCTCCATGATGGTAACACAGGAGTCTTCAGGGGCTGCTGGACAGTTTTCATAATGGCCCAGAGTGAGTGTCTAGACTAGAGCTCACCTCTCTCTCTCTCTCTCTCTCTCTCTCTCTCTCTCTCACACACACACACACACACACACACACACACACACACATGTGCACAAGCCACACAAATGACTGGTCACTCTCTCCCACTTATCTAATTTAGGATGCTTACTGTTCTTCCTAAACATGTGGGAATAAAGAACACAGAATAAAAAACATGAATTTGTGTCCTGTGGACTCAGAAGCCAGGTCAGGAATCAGAATCCTTCTCTCGACCTCCAAATAGGAAAAGAAAAAGAAGGTTCTATGTTTTCAGGAAGAATCTCATAAAAAAAGAAACTGTGTGACAGTAATTGAGGGTCAGTTGGGGCAAAAGTCACATTATATCTTTTCTGAACTGTTGATTAAAATATGGTGTCATTAATGTAGGCACCCACTAAACCCAATTCACTGGGAGGAAAGCTTCAGGATTTGATGTAGGGGGTATCTGTGGGAGCATACATTGAGGCACAGGAATGCTGGGCAGGCCCATTGGTCCCTCTTTTACTCTGTCTACAACCACATACACAGGTGCACACAGGTACATGAAATCCCCTGTTTGACAACCATTGCTTTTGGACTTCCTTGTCTTTTTATGCAATCATGACCGAAAATAAAAAATTACACACAGTTCCTTTGTGCCTCATGTTCTGTAAACCCCAGACCAGTTTAGATCTTACTCCCAAGAAGAAATTTCTTATCTGCCCACTATCTGTATCTGTCTTAGTCAGTAGCTGATAGACCCTCCTTGGGTTATTAACCAGTTAGTTTCTTCCAGAAAAGAGGTCATTAGCTTCTAACATTACTCAGGAGTGTCAGGAGATGCAGGTATCAGATCCTTTCATTCTGGTTTATCTTTAATTTAATCTCCAGATTTTTTAGCTCTGCCTGTCAGCTGGCTTCCACTTAATAACACATTTTTATCTGTTATTGTTGTTGGTGGTGGTGTTTTTTTTTTTTTAAAAAAAACAACTCAATAACCAATATAATAATGACAGAATTGACAAATTCCACATTAATCGATTTCCTTCCTGCATCTAACCTCCAAGCTGCCAAAAGCTAGGAACAGTGAAATAGATTCCAGGCAGTTACAGGTTAAGGATCATTTGCATAAATTAGCAAGTTTTGCAAATGAATTCATCTAGTGAGAAGTAAGACACGGGACACTGCATTTTAATAATTGACATTCCACATGAAATGCAATGTTCTTGAGGAGGAAATTGAGCTCCAGGTTGCTATTAGAACCAGCGGACCAGCACGAGTGGAAAGAAATGCCATCCCCCATTATGTGAGTTACCGCTCCTGCATAACAACGACTCCTATTCTGATGGACTTCTTTTAATAAAAGTACAAGCCTGTGCTCGCTGAGAGGGAGAAAACCGAGGGGAATCTACTCATCGGCGGGATTGCACAGGAAATGAAAATAGGAGTTTTTCAGGATGCCGCCTTAATGTGCACTAGCAACTCTTTACATTCTCTTTCTGAAATAATCTTTCATTTTCTGTTTGATTTGGCAGCAGCTCCACCCCCACCCTCTTCCTTTTCAGTTTTATGAAACACTTAGGAGATTATTTAAATATATACAGAGTGTGAGTAAAAATTTTAAATTGCCCAATGTGGAGGTTGTCTCTCATAATGTTGGTTAAATTACAAATAAAGATAAGTGGGCCATTTTGCTGCCTCCTCCTGGCTTAATTTGTTTAAGAACATGCCACATTGTGAATATTAGTGAGAATGCCAAATTAATGCCTTTCCTAAGGTGTTAGTCCGTCAGTCAAAGTCAGGGTATCCAGCATGTCGGAAGTACAAACCGCTCACACATGCAAACTGAGAGGTGGAAACAAGTCAATCCATAATAGTGTTTCCTGGCATAATTTATAATTAACATAAAATGAATTAAATCACTCACTCGATAGACTTTTTTCCAAGTTCATGTAGAGTAAGTGTGTCATATCAATTAATTCTCAATGAACTGCAGCAGCCAATAAAATTTCTCCCAGACACTGGTAATAATCCAAGATATTGATGGAAGAGCTAATATGAGTACAGGACTCAAATCACATACAGGGAGCAAGCAGATAGAGATTCTTCTTGGAAAAGGAACATGATTATTGCTGGCTGCCTTTGTTCTTTCCAATTTGTTAAGCTTTCTGTCTGTTCTCACTTTTCACACTGATGGTCTTTTAATTTTGCCTTCACCAACTAAATTCCCCTAGTGTAACTGTCTGTTTTGTGGGCTATGTAATCTGAATAAACTAATACACATGAACAGATTAAACAGATTCAAATAGTAAGGACAGATTATATTGACCATATAATTGACACATTTCCAATGGTTTTTGTACATGTTCATAACCACAAATAATTGATACATAAAAATTAATGCAACCAGATCTTTGGTCTGCAGAATTTGAACAGGTATCTTTCCTCATATCTTGGGAAAGTTTTGTGTTTCTGTATTTGTTCATTTTTTTTTTTTTCTGAACCAGCTGGTTGTTTTTGCTACTATATAGACAAAGCCCAAATGCCCCACTTGACTTTGTTGATGATAAATAATTTTACAGCACAAAGACCGGTGATCATTGGATCTATCACTTCAGAGCTTGCATTAGATGATACTTCACTTAGATTTTTCTCCACAATAACACCTGTTAGCCAGAGTGTTTATGATTTTATATGCATTTTTCTTTCACCTAGGGGATAGTAGTTGATCTTGGGATTAAATGCTTTTGATAGTTTGAGATGACAATCTTTCATCTATGCCTCCATCTGCATGCTTATGGCAATATCAGATAAAGGGACGCTGGGAGCCAGTTGGTATGTATAATGAGTTGTCTGGGCTCTTCTCCCAATAAAGGGTGTGTTCAGACTTTGCTTATTTATAGACCAATAAAGAGAAATTTCCCCTGTTCTCTTCAGAAGGCTGAGGATAAATAGCTCTTCCGTTTCTAACATTTAATGTTCACAGACACAAAAACAACTGCTCTGAATATTAAACCTGCATTCGTGCATTTTTTTCCTCTATGAAGGGAGAAATCCTTGAGTATGAAACAATGGAGGGTTCAGATACAATCTTTCCCATTTTAGAACTGTTTTATTGAACTTGTTTTCCTTAACTAAGAGGCCCTCCAGGCTTAATTTGGTTAGGGGGTGAAGCAGCAACTCCCATGCTTTGATAATTTTCTCTGTGACCCAAGAGTTCAGGTCTCCATAGAATGAAATCTCCTTCCTGATGACGATGCATCTGTAGCACCAATGCCCTCCAACCAGGCTGTTTCTGATGGGTGAAGTGCTCTTCCTCAGTGTGTGTGCAGCAAATGCTTTCTATTTTCACATTCTAGACCAAGGAAGAACATACATTATTCTTAATTCTTGATTCTGTGATGAAGTAGCCATCTGGTCTGATAGTACAGTGACAATGATATAGGAGTGAACACTCCGTGCTTGGTCTACTGCACAGAAAAGGACAATAGGATATATTTTAAAACGTCAGGATTCATCAGAACAATATTTGGGAAAGTTTACATTTATGAAAATAGATAGTATTGAAGATACATCATGACGCAAATCTAATCATGGCTGCTGGGCAGCTGAATTAAATTAAGAGTAAATCTGAATGTTTCTAATTAAAAATGTGTTTTTCCTTTTTCTGCTGCATTTTTCATGTCTGAGAAAAGAATCAAGATCATGTTACTTTGGGGAAGTTGTGTCACAGACTCCCTGGCTACCTTGCTTTTTTCAAAAGCATATGTTGAATTCTCGGGTTAGAGATATGTGATGAGTTTGGCTATTTCCACACAGTTGAGAGTGAAAATTGTGTTCACATTTATGTTCTTCACTATAGACAGCATAGTTATCATCAATAGGGGGACTATTCAAAAATCACATATGTGTGAGTTTAAGGTGCATTGATAGAGTAATGAGTTTTATTTTTTAAATGGCTTCCATTTGAGGTTTACCATTCATGCTTTCATTCAACAAATACTATTTTTCACATTCCAAACAATGAATTTGGTGTGAAGTTTAGGAGAGGAGAACAATAATGTATTTTGAGAGACATGATGGCTTTGATGAGCATTACTTCATTAGAAAATATTTGCAACCACAGAAAGTGATTGCCTACAAATGCCCAGAGGCAATGTCTGGATCCTGGCTGGAAGAAACCAGCCAGATGATCATAAGGGCTACAGAATCTTGGATGGGGCCAAAAAGGGGCTGACTGAGCCCAGCAAGGAGACCTGCTCATTCTGTGTTGTAGATGCTAACCAAACTTGTGAATGTTGATGTAGGCACAGAATCTAGTGGATCTATTAAACTCAGCTATAATTCAAGCAGGAAAAACCACAAGTCTAACCCCAATGTTCAGGACCCAGTGTCAAGATCTGAGTAATAATGATTGCCTTCAATTCTTAGTAGAGTACAACTTTTCATGAAGATCGAATCTTTATTATTTTAATTTCAAATTGATACATGATTCTATTCAGAAAATTGCTACACAGTTTTTTTATGTCTCAGATATTGGAAAGTAGTTATTTTTCTTCCTTTTTATAAAAGATATTTTTAGT